AGAAATGGAGGCAAGCAGCCCTAGCTGGTTTGGCTCAGTGGATAGAGCAGACACCTGGGGACTAAAGGGTCCCTGGTTGGATTCTGGTCAAGGGCTCATGCCCCTGTTGCAGGCTCAATCCCCAGTAGGGGGTGTGCAGGAGGCAGCTGATTAATGATTCTCTCTCATCATTGATGTTTCTATCTCTCCCTCTCCCTTCCTCTTTAAAATCAATAAAAATAGATTTAAAAAAAAGAAAGAGATGGAGGTAAGCAACTCAGATACAGAGTTCAAAACAGTGGTTACAAGGATACTCAAGGAACTTAGTGAGAACTTCAACACCATTAAAAAAGGACAAAACCATAAAAAAGACCAGTCAGAAAGGCAGAGTACAATAATTGAAATGAAGAATACACTAGAAGGAATCAGATTAGATGAAGCAGAGTATCAAAGCAGCAATTTGGAAGACAAAGTAGCAGAAAACACCCAATTGGAGTAGCAAAAAGAAAGAATCCCAAAATAGAATAGTTTAAGGGACCTTTGGGACAACATCAAGCCTAACATCGTAGGTGTGTACCTGGAGGAGGAGAGAGCATGGGATTGAAAACCTATTTGAAAAAATAGTAAGTGAAAATGTTCCTATTCTGGTGAAGGAAATAGACATTCAAGTCCAGGAAGCACAGTGTCCCAAACAAAATAAACCCAAAGGGGCCAACACCAAGATACATCCTAATTAAAATGGCAAAGTTTAAAGGCAAAGAGAGACTTAAAAGCAGCATTGTCTCTGTTTCCCATTTCTTGAACTTCTGTTTTGTGGATGCTAGACCCTTATAGATTGAGTCTCTAATTTTCTTTTCTCTCTCAGCTTTAATTTTTGTCTATTTTCTGGAAATTTTCTTGACTTTATCATCAATCTATTGAATTTTTACTTTAGCTATTCTGCTTTAATTTCTAAGTGCTCTTTCTGAGTTGCCAGTTATTGCTGTCTTGTAACATTCTGTTCATATGTTGAAGAGAGTGCCTTCTCTCTCTGAGGATATTAATTTCTAGTATTTTTGAAATTTCATCTGCTTGCAGTATAGTTGCCATTTCCTTGAAATTCCTTGAATGTCTGAAATTCCTTGGCTTCATTAAATTATAAGAATAAAATATTTTTAAAAATCAGTTGGGCCCTCTGGGTGTGTGACCTCCATTGTCACTAGTGATTGCTATTTTAGGGTGACCCCTGATAAACCAGTTGGTTTATTAGAAGCCCACTTCCACCCCAAATGTCAGTTTCTGTAGAGAGATTGTTTCTCCAGAGAACAATCTCTGATTTTCTTGCCTTTGGAGGTGGGCAGTTTGGATGAGGGTCAATGTGAGATCCTGCGTTCAGGAAACAGAAAGGGGGAGGGGCCAGGAAGCTATCCCTGTGTTCATGTGTGTTCACTTTCACCCAGTCCCAGGTTTTGTCCAATCGATCACCTCCTAACCTTCCCAGTGTCTGTCACTGTAAGCTTTAAGCCTTTCTAGGTTAGTTTCTCCAGAAAATAAATTTATTTATTTTGGAAGCTAAAGGAGATACACTTGTATTCAAACTCCTGATTCGTGTCTTAAATTGTCTTCAATAATGCTACTTAAAACTATTTCACATTATCTATTAAGTGCATTAAAGTGACACAATGTTTATGCTTTGTTAAACATATCAAAAAGAACTTTTGAAATATGAAAGTGTAATTTTATACAATAAAACAGACATATTTCATTTTTTATCTAGTGAGTGCTTATTTAATTTGTATAAATCCTCCCCAAATAAAAGATATTAATTTATATAAAAAGTGAAATTGTACCCAGCCAGTGTGGCTCAGTGGTTGGAGGATCATTTATGAACCAGGGGGTCATGGTTTGATTCCCGGTCAGGGCACATGCCCAGGTTGTAGGCTTAGTCCCCAGTGTGAGGTGTGCTGGAAGCAGTGATTCTCTCTCATCATTGATGTTTCTCTCTCTCTCTCCCTCTCTTCCTTCCTCTCTAAAATAAAAAAAATAAAAAAAAAAATTTTAAGTGAAATTGTTACCTTAAAATCATCCTGGTGACTTAAATTTAGTCTTTCTAGTTTTATACATGTGACATAAAAATAAAACAAAGAATACTTTTTAATACGCGACTGTCAGTTTGGAAAATATGATCTTAAGATTTTGAAACAATGTTTTTTTTTTTGTCAAAGTGTCTTAATTTATAAAGGCGAAATATTTTGATTCTACTTTGTATGCTATTTTTAAATAAAGATTTTTATGACTTTCTTTCATAGAAATTTCATAGTTCATTTAAAGAGTTGTTAAATAAACTTGTGAAATACATTATGTCTAAAGAAGAGTATAAAACTCAGAAGTGTAAAGCCCAATGAATTATCACAGAATGAACCCCCTTATAACCAACCATCCAAGTTAAGAAATATAACAGCATTGCACTAGCTGGTTTGGCTTAGTGGACAGAGCGTTGGCCTGCAGACTGAAGAGTCCCGGGTTCAATTTCGGTCAAGGGCACATGCCCAAGCTCGATCTCCAATAGGGGGCATGAAAGAGGCAGCCAATCAATAATTCTCTCTCATCATTGATGTTTCTATCTCTCTCTACTTCTCACTTCCTCTCTGAGGTCAATAAAAATATATTTGAAAAAAGAAAAAAGAAATAGAACAGCATCAGTACCACAGAGCCCCTTTGAATCCCCGCAAGTCTTAATCCCATCGTCTTCTGGAGTATCACTTCATCTGTAAACACCACAGATGAATTTTGCCTGATTTTGAACTTTACATAAGTAGAATCATATAGTATATATTCTCTTACTTTTTTTTCCACTCAGCATTGTTTGTGAGCCTTATTCATGTTAGTGCATATAGCTGTACTTTGTTCATATTATTGCAGTATAGAATTCTATTGCATAAATATACTCAAATTTATTTTATTCTACTTTTGATGGGCATGTGGGTTGTTTCCAGTTTGAGGCTATTAAGAATGCTGCTGTGAATATTCTGTACATGTTTTTTGGCCATATATGTACATATTTCTATTGAGCTTTTATGAAGGATTGGTGATTCATAGGATATTAGAACTTTAGTACATAACAATTCCAGAGGTTTTATCACTCCCTACAGCAATGTATGAGTCTCAGTTACTCCACATACTGATCAATATTTGATATTATAATTTTAATGTTTAATTTTAGTCATTTTTTTTCAGTCTATGGAGTATCTATATATGGAAATTACATAAAAGCAAATAGCCAGAAAAATGCTCAATTCCTTAGTCGTGAATCTCAAATTTTTTATAGTTATTTTGCTGTGCTTTGCTATGCTATGGTAAAAATTACTACAGTTCCCACATGTTAAAATTTTGGCTTTGAATTTCTGTCTTTTCCCATTTATTGCTTCCTTATAATGTTTGTCATTCAAAATTTAGAAGTCTTCATCTCCCTCCTTTTCACTTTCAGTTCCTTTTACCCAGGATTATTTTAATGAAGGCACTGAAAGTTCTTGAATAATCTCATGCTGTTTTCTAACATGTTATGTGAAAATTTTCACACATAAGGCAAACCTAGAATAATTTTGCAGTGAACACTTACTAGTATATACCAATCACCTAGCTTTTACCATTGATAGTTTAGTAATACAGTTGACCCTTGAACAACGTGGGGGTTAGGAACGATGAGCACAACCCCTAAACACCCCCTGGTCTCCCTCCCCCCTCCCCTGCACAGTTGAAAATCAGCATATAAAATTTTGACTCCCTCAAAAATCTAATAGCCCAGCCAGTGTGGCTCAGTGGTTGAGCATTGACCTATGAAGCAGGAGGTCATGGTTTGGTTCCTGGTCAGGGCACATGTCCAAGTTGTAGGCTTGATCCCCAGTAGGGGGCGTGCAGGAGGCAGCTGATAAATGATTCCCTCTCATCATTGATGTCTCCATCCCTCTCTCCTCTCTCTTCCTCTCTCAAATAAATGAGAATATATATATATTTTAAAAATCTAATAGCCTAGTGTTGACTGGAAGCCTTACATAAACAGTCGATTAACACAGATTTTACATGTTATATACAATATAATATTCCTATAATAAACTAGAGAAAAGAAAAATTAAGAAAATAATAAAGAAAAAATATATTTACAGTTTTTATTGCATATAAGTGGAACCACGCAGTAAGTTTGTAAATTTTTTAAAAACCGGTTTCTTTTATGGAATATTGTGGTGTTCAAATAATAGGTAAGGTAAATGTTGCCTGTTTTCACTTAATGAAGAGAAAGAAACTATCATACTAGGACCTAATTTTTATTTTCAATTAATCTCTTAAAAGCAACCATTTTGTTTCCCTACAACTGTTTTCTGACAGGATCTGAATTTTTTAAATTTTTTTATTGAGTTAAGCACACTTACGATGAGATCTGTCCTCTTAACAGATTTTTAGGTGTACAATACATTCTTGCTGTAGCGGTTGCCAACCGGTAGTCCGTGGACCACTGGAGGTCCATGAGGTCTGAAATGTTGGCAACCACTGGACTAGAGGTACAAAGTGTACAGCAGATCTCTAGAGCTTTTCATCTTGCTTAACTGAGACTTTATTCCCATTGATTAGTAATTCCTTATTTCCATCTCCCCTCAGCCCCTGGCAACCACCATTCCACTCTTGTAGAGATACTGCCTGAATTTTCTAGAAGCATGAATGGAGATTAATGCAAATTATTCTACGTGGTGTCCTGTATTTAGAAAGGTACCATGAAGAAAAACAAGCCAAGAAGTTGCCTAATTCTGACACTACTATTTAAGTAGCTAGAAAGTCATTTCCATTTGAGATGCCTCAGTTTACTTTGTAAATTGAATAGGTTTAACTAGTTTCCCAAATTCCTTTTTATCTTCCAGCAATTTTATATCTACATTTACTGTGGGACTCTGTATTATGTCGTTTAAAATTTTAGTTTTTAAACTTGCATAGTCCGCAAGGAATCATCTCTGGGACCTTGGATGCTGATAAACTTCTTTGTTTTCTTCCAGATTGTTAAAGAGACATGAAAACAACCTATCTGTGCTAGCCATTAGTAACATGGAAGCGTCCTCCACCCTTGCCAAATGCCTTTACGAACTTAACTTTACAGTTCAGAGTAAAGAACAAGAAAAAGACTCAGAGATGCTGCAGTGAAAAATAATTCCACTTCTGTAGTGGGGAACTCAAAGTCAGATACATTTCACATGTTACTGAAGAAAGCACCAAGTCTTAATGGAGCAGAGACCATAGAATGAATTATTTTATCTCCTCCCATGATGCTGAGAGGAAGCTTCGTATTCTGATCCCTGAGTGATCCCTTTGTTCTGTTTTAAAAAAAATCTAAAAAGAAAAAGAAAAAAAAAAAACTGCTGTGGGATTGTCAACCAGCTTATCTGCAGGATGTCTCTCAGATCTGATAAATCCTGATGGAAACTGGTATGATCAGAATTCAGTACCATCCACATTGGAATATACATGGAATATTGTAAAACCTACATGAGCAGATGAAATAGAAGCATTAAATATTTTTATCTATATCCAAAAAGGAGCACATTTTTATATTTACAAAACCGTTTAAGCTGGTTTGAATAATTAAAAAAAAAAAGTTTCAGCACACCTATACCCCGTATCTCCAAGGGGGCCACTAATATCTAGATATGGATTGTGTGTTTTGTTTAGAAATCAGTAGCTTGGTTTTCTTACTTGAGCCAATATATTTTCACTTATTTATTATCATAAAAATTTACCAGTCTGAATAGATCCTGTAAATATTTGTGAATAGAATGAACACCTTTCATGCCACTGCAGCCACTGGAAATACATTCTGTGGTGTCCTAGAAGCATTACTGGTAGGTCCTAAAGTTTTCTAGACTTTCCTGTCAATTGTAAGTAATTGTGATATATTCTATGCAGTGGATGAATGTTCTTTAAATTTGTGTAAATACTTCTGCAAAGGTACTGATGCTGTAAAGTCAAAACAGTTGTGGAACTGTGATTTTTTTTTTTTTCCTTTTCTTTTTTTGTATTATACACCTTGTTAGAACTCATTTTGCTGGCTGAAAGAGTAATGAATAATATATCTCATGTCATTTTTGTAGAAGAAAAACTATTTGAAGGTATTTTTTGGTTTTCCCTAACATGTATCCACTGTAAACGTTTGTCATGTGCAAGCTCAAAGCTTGGACAGAATTTTTTTGTATTTGTAAATTGGTTTAAATACATGGAATTTTATACAGGTTTTCTCCTGTGTTATATATGCATTATGTGCAGGTATGATATTTTCTTCACTACTTTTTCTATCTTAATATAGTGTGGAATTTTATTGTATTATTCTTCCATTCTTAATACTGTATCACATTCCTGCTCAGAAACTGCTCACTTCCTTATTAAATTGTCTTTTCTCCTCAGCGTGACATGTATCCATTTATAACTGCCTATTGCCTGTTCTATTAGCACCCAAGAGTGTGGAAGGCCTCCAGCCACCATTTCTGCTGTGTCATTAGGATGTGCAGTAAAAATAGAGACCTAACAGTTATGTTATAGAATGGCTTTATTTACTTTGGTGACTGTTTATAGTTTTTAAATAAAAGACTGAACATTTTCTTGAGTCCTTCATTTCTGAGTATGGTTTAAGACATTCTTTAAAAATTCAGCAGAAGGCAAGGGCCAGTCACCTATTTGATGTACATTGATTTATAATACATTGAACAGAGAATAGCTAAGAGAGTTCCTTTACTGAGAGAGTGCAGGAGATAGGCAGGAGACTGAGAGTATTTATTTTCCATTAGACTGCAAGGCAAACCCGGATTATTGTTTGACACTGTTATCTTTGACAAATCATTCAGAACCACAGTGCATCCAAGTACTCAACTTGAATTTGGGAGCAGCTTCTGAGAGTAAAAGGGCCTTAGTTTGGATCTAAAAAATTTTTCACTATTTTGATTCAACTATTAGCAAAGGAGAATCTCATTTCTCCCTAAAGAGGGCTCCCTGGCACTCTGCCATGTATTACTTAATGAATGCTTAGGAAACTTTTCCTCCAACATTGGTCACGATTATTGCCTAGAGTTGTGGGGTTTACTCTTGGCTCACCTCCCAATATCAGGGCTGCCTGTAGACACACCGGAGATGCTGTGGTTAACACCACAATCACTCTCAAGCCCCCAAACTTAGAAGGCTACCAATGGTGGATGTCAGTTGGAGAATTTCCTATTCATTGTATTTACCTAAAAATCTCTTGAATTTTTCTAACATAATTTTGTGTAACATCGTTTGTTTTAAAGGTACGTTTCTTTGCAAGTTAAGACTGCTATGGTGAATTAATAGAAAGGAAGCCAGGTTTAGAAAAATGATTTTCGTGTTCACCATTCTTCCACCTTATCGGAACCGCGTGCCATAGCTCCAGCTTTTGTGCCGTAGCGCGTGAACGCGTCCGCAGTCTCCTGGAAGCATTGGTCTCAGCAGCGCGCGCTCTAAATACGCATGTGGCCTAAGAAGCCAATGGCGGCTTTCCGCTTGGGTTTTTCGTCTTACAGCGCTGGGCCACTCCGCGCGGCGACGTGGACTTGCTGGGTGACGGAATCCAAGTGCCCACGCACAAGTTCTGCGCGGCCCTCTCATTCATGAAAAGGTGCTCCTCGCTAGACAGAGACTTGCTGATTTCCAGTACTGTTATTTTTGTCTAAGGTTCTGTAAATACATGCTTTAATGTTATCTTTAAGAAATCTATGTAAATTATATAGTCTACAACTTAGAGACTGTACAGTTCTGTGTTATATACGTGCCTAGTGCTCTGTTGGCACTCAATAAATTTTAAGTAACAAAATTGGTAATCATATAGCCAAGGCATATTTTTCTTCCAAGTTCGAGATAGGATGTGACTATATACTAATGAGACTCAGTAGTTCAAGCCACACATGGAAACTTGTCTCATTACTTTATAGTCATGCCATGTATGTTTTTTTAACCATAAAATGACAATAAAAATGATTTTTAAAATGAGAATGTTTTGGATAAGTGACTTCTGTTGTGATCTTGATCACTGTGATTGAGTATTAGACACCAAGGAAGCATGGTGAGACTTTTTCCACAAAACAGAAGCGGTGAAGCAGCAGGAGCACAGCTATGGCATTAACCACATGGGCACCTCGCGCTTGATGCTGGGATCATTTTCATCCAATAGTATTTAAAAGAGAAAAAAATCCAGTGTTTATCCAAGGAAAATTTGGCTTCTCAATCACTCTCATATTACTTTAACTCTTCATAGAACATAATGTAGTCAGATACTCATTTTAATGACTTTCTCTTAAGGCAGCAAAACAAATGAAGACAGTACTAACTTGCTAGTTACATTACAGCCATGGCTTTTTCTACTACCTTGATATTTGCAAAACTAGTTGCATTTGTGAATCCTCACTTCATAAGGAGCAAGTGCTTCTATTGTTAAAAATTAGTTATAGGATTGCACTATACCTAACTTAGAAAGGCTGAGGCACATTGTCACATAGGTAGGTGAGCAGATTCGGTTCCTCTTAAGACAGCGGTTCTCAACCTGTGGGTCGCAACCCCTTTGGGGGTGGAACAACCCTTTCACAGGGGTTGCCTAAGACCATCCTGCATATCAGATATTTACATTATGATTCATAACAGTAGCAACATTACAGTTATGAAGTAGCAACGAAAATAATTTTATGGTTGGGGGTCACCACAACATGAGGAACTGTATTAAAGGGTCGCGGCATTAGGAAGGTGAGAACCACTGCTCTAAGACTACAGTTAAGTCCTCAATGTTAATGGGTTCTAGGAACTGGGGTGAAACGACGTGTATACCGAAACCAGTTTACCACAAGCTAATAAATAAAAACAAGTTCCTACAGCATTTCAAAACATTACTTGAGGACCTACTGTACTTAAATATGAAGTGAAAAACCTGCCATTAAGTCCTGGTTTCTGTGGATTTCAGTCTGAAATGAAGTTTTTAAAGCAGTGGTTCCCAATGTGGGGCACAAGCCCCAAAGGGGGACGATTTGATTTTTAAGGGGGGCAATTTGAGAATGAGTTAATAACTGAATTTTTTGCACTTACGATTCTAGGGGCCTCATATACAGTGTATAAATATATATTGTGACATTTACGCATTTTGGTTCTCTATTATGTTTTGAAACTGCTACTTTTTCATATCACTTCCTAGTATTCTTCCTCAGTACTTAAACTGTCCTTTTGTTCTTTTTTCTCTTTCATGGATGCTATATTCTTTGGAAGCTTATTTAGACCAAGTTAATGGCCTTTTAGGCTTCCTTCATGTGAATAGGAGTTCACTTTTTGAATAATAAGAACTGTATGTCACAGGAGCATCAGAATTTGAGAGATGCTTAGGTGGGGCATGGCCAAAAAATACGTTGGGAACCACTGTTTTAAAGTATCCTTTGTAAGTAGGTGATAACAACCATACAATTCAATAATCAAAATGTTCCAGTGGGCCTGGCAGGTGTTGCTCAGTGGTTGAGCATCAACCTATGAACCAGGAGGTCACAGAGTTCGAATCCAGATTAGGGCACATGCCCAGGTTGCAGACTTGATCCCCAGTGGGGTGCATGCAGGAAGTAGCCAATCAATGATCCTAATCATTGATGTTTCTCTCTCTGAAATCAATAAATTTTTTAAAAGTTCAAGAGACAGTCAATGAGAAGTCCCCCTCCAAGCCCTCCCCCACCTGCTGGATCCCACCCCGTTGCAAGATAACCACTGATCATATCTCTGCGGTACATCTCTGGTATTGATTACATACAAGCAATTAGGATATTTTCTCATTTTTACACAAAGTATTTCATACCATTAACACTGCTGTACTTTTTTAAAAACTGAAAATCTTAAGATCTTTCCATATTGGTATGAAGAGCTCCATTTTATGGGTGTACCATGATCTATTTAACTAGACCCCTTATTGATGAACATTTAAGTGGTTTCCACACTTTACGCTGGTCACTAACATTTGCTAAGCACTTCCCTCTGCCAGTCACTCTGTTAAGCCTTTTACATGTATCATATCAGTCTTAACAACCCAATGTAATAGTTGTTTTATGTGGGATATGGAGGGTTTGGAATAGTAAGTACTTTGACTAAGGTCATATGCCAAGTTAAGTGGACCCATTTCACCAGCACACACAGAGCCCAATTATAGAGAAAAACTAGAATTCTTTCCATGGGGAATCTGGTTGCTAGTACATAAAAGACACCAATTTGAGGTGCCAATCATTATTTTTGTATTTGCTTCACTAGTTCCATTAAGTATTTTCTTCCTGTGCATTTTGTTATCTTTCTAAAGTTTTCCATAATTCCTCAGGTTTATTTTCCACGTATTTATTAATTTGACACCACTCCACTTTTTAGAGCCAACAAAACTTTCTGGGAATTCCCTTAAAGACGGAACATTTCTTAGGCAGAAGATTATGCTAACCTGAAACCAGTTTCCAGTCAACTACTATCCATGCTAGTGTATAGTTTGTTAGCTGACTCTTTGGCCAGATTTGTTCAACGTTTTCAGGATTTAAAAAAAAAAAAAAATCTGTTGAAATTACTACATATGTCCCCTTTATAAAGCTCAGGAACTGTGGTGGAACTATAAATTAGTATATTCCTTTTAGAGAGCAATTTGACATCTATCCAAATTAAAATGTGAATATCCTGAAATTCAATGTAACCTCATAGACAAAAAGGATGTTCATTAACATTGTTTCTAATAGCCAAAGGTTACTCATCAACCAAAGAACAATATAACCATTATAAAATAGACATGGGTGACAGACTACATCTTAAATTTTTTTATTTTTTTTTTTTTTTTGAGAGAATGAAAGAGGGAAAACCAGAAATATCGATGGGGGAGAAACATTAATTGGTTGCCTCCTGAATGAGCTCCGACCAGGAGCCTGCATCCAAGGTATGTGACCTTGACCGGAATTGAACCTGGACCCTTTGGTCCACACGCCAACACTCTTATCCACTGTGCCAAACCAGCTAGGGCCATCTTCAATTTCTTAAGGGGACAAGAGATGTAGAACAGTTTACAGAATATAATTTATGCAGTGGTAACTAACTATCCCGGAATCTCAAAAAGTATTTTTGTAAATGTGCTGAAGAGTATGGAAACATAAAAATATCTTTCTGATGGTTCTCTCTGGATAGAAAACCAGCTTAGGAAAATGGAGCTTTATACTGACTATAACTGACCTTTTAAAAATTATATATTAAGTGTATGTATATAATTACATCTTAAAATTTATGGGAAAATAAAAACTGATTGACCAAGGTATCCTACTTCTAGGAGTTAATCCCCAGAAAACAATCTGAAATGGGTACAATTTATATAGTCAGATGTTTGTATCAGTCTTATTTATATTAGTACAATTTATATTTTACTAAATTAATTATATTAGTAAAAACAATATCTAACAGAGGCTATTTAAGGTATATATATATAGCTAATATGCAAAGTAGCCCCGCGGGAGTTTGACCAGGAGTTCTATTGCTTACTATGACGTGTGCTGACCACCAGGGGTCAGCACAAAACAGAAGGCCCCGGCCGGCAGCCAGAAGGCCCCGACT